TGCGCAGCGCTGGATCGATGAGCTGCGGGCCGAGTTGCCCGAGCAGCCGGGCCTGTCGCTCACGCTCGCGGGCTCGAAGCGCGACCTCTGCCCAAAGGCGCGGCAGGTCAAGACGCAGGATGCCAAGGCCGTGGCGGCAGCCAACGGCGCGAGCTATCTGGAGGTGAGCGCGAGGGACGGGATGAACGTTGCGGAGCTATTTGCCGCCGTCGCGGCGAGCGTCGACCCCGAGAGCCGGCCCGCCTCCCGCGGCGTTAAGCTCGACGACTCGAGTCGAGACGGCCGCCGCGACTGGCCCGGCTGCTGCTAGCGTGGCGGTGCGACGCCTCGCGCGCGCGGGCGCGAGCCGTACGTATAACCAATAACGTAAGGGTACGAGACCCGTCCCGAGACGTGTGTGCGCGCGATTGCGCGCGCAGGGTAGGACAAGCTGCGGGCGGCTGGTGCGCCATTGCATGGCGGCACACAGCCCAGGGAAGGACAGCTTAATTGTTTTATCCTTCAGAAGTCATGCGGATGCGCATGCACACGGAAGGGCGGGAGAGTGTCGCATGAAAGAGAAGTCGGCGGTCCGGTGGGATGTCGGGAGTTCGAGCTCGAGAGCGGTCCGCCAGAGAGGCGACGCAAAGGCCTCTCGCACCGGGCACCGGAGTTCATGCAGCCTTTCGCCTCGGCGGTAGAGGTGCGTTGGGCGTCAAGCGCCGCACGACAGCGCGCACCAAACTGGCAGCTAGGTAGACGGCAGACACCAGCGCGAGCACGTCCAGAGGTGAGAGGGTGTACACACCTCCGTTCGGCGCCGAGCCCATCCAAGCTCGCGCGGAGAGCGGGGCGCTCTCAGCGCCCTGGAGTCAGAGCCGTCCGAAAGAAACCGTGTTCAGAAATTCTTTTTCCTTGATTAGAAAGAAACAATAATAGGCCTCCCTTGTCGCAGTCCCCCCCACACACCCACCGCGCGCCCATCTCCGCGCCTAGGCGGGAAAGAGATGAGGAGATGGGACAGCGGAGGAGGAGCCCAAACACGTATGGGACAGATGGGAGGTTAAAGAGAGAGAGAGATGCAAAAGTGAGGTACCGCAAATGAAGCGACGGCAAGAAGAAGCGGAAGGTTGGCTCCGGCCGTGTGCTGGCTGAGTAGACAACACACGCTTGCAGCAGAGCCCCGGGGGGGTACCCCACGGGTTGGCGGGGCCAGGGCCGTGTGCCTGTCCCTTTGGCGCCTGCAAAGAGAATTTACCGCCCCAGGGGCTGGCTCTCTACCTCACGGCCCTGGCGCCTGGGCGTGCGGTTGTGGGTTGATACTGGAAACTGTGCACTCCAAGTGCTTTAAGTGCCCCTGGCGCTAGGGGGGCATTCAAGGCACACGCACGGGACTGGCGCGCACTGGCGCGCACTGGCGCGCGCACCCACAGGCACTGCGTAAAATACGGTGGTCCGCCCGGGCGTGTTTTTCTTTCTTTGATTTCAGCGCGACCAACAGCGAACGTGTCTGTGTGCACACTCGCCACAATCTCTCGGTAGACCATATTTTGGCCATCGGCATTCGATCGCAAACTGAACTTCACAAAGGTCAAAGCAAGAGTAAGTACGACACTCGCGACGTATAGCGAGAGATACACCCACAGGAAGACAGTACGAGAGCGAGAGTAACGCTCTCACCAAAACGGGTTCCAGCCGCCCCACATTTGCGCGAGGTTGGTGTGCGCCTGCGCCTCGTGCACGAGCCGGTCGACTTGCGTCGGGACGTCGATGGGCGCCGCGCCAAACTCGGAGCCGTCGAGCTTCGACTTGACGCGGCGCAGCACGCGCAGAGCCTGCGCGTGCA